ACCTACACCTACACCAAAATAAAAAGCAAAGAATCAAAACGCACCATTAGAAAATCAATCACAAAGGAAACTGTAAGATGGGAGAAAGGATCTATAAAACAACTAGAAAACAAGAGGGGCCAGGAGTAAATCTGTACTTAATAATCCCTGTACTTATAATTATCTGTACTTAATAATTAATATATTAAATTCTCTAATTGCAAGAAACAGAATGGTTGAATGGAGCAAACACAAGACCAAAGCATATGCTACCTACAAGACTCACTTCACCTGAGAAGACACATAAACCAAAAGTAAGGGAATAGAAAAGGATATTCCATGCAAATAGAAACCAAGAGAGAGCAGGGTTGGCTATACCAATGTCAGACAAAATAGATTTTAAATCAAAAACTGTCTCCAGAGACAAAGATCCTTCTATTACATTTTACAACATGATATATAACAATGATACATAATATATATATAATATCCAACCTCAGAGCACCCAAGTATATAAGACATTATGATATACTTTACTGAAGAATTGATAGCATACAATAGAATACTTCAAACTCACTTTAAATAACAGAAATCCAGATTGAAAAATCAATAAATAATGGACTGGACAACATCGTATACCTAATAGACTTAAATATAAGCAAATTTTCACCATATAATTCTTTACACATCTTCTCAAGTACACACAGAACATTCTCCAGCACAGATCATGTGCTGATCATAAAATAATTAAGAAGATTAAGTCATTCCCAAGTTTCTCTTCTGACCACAATGAAATGAAACTGGAAACCAATAAGAGCAAGAAGTTCACAAACATATGTAAACTAATTTGTACATGAGCAGCCACTAGGTAAAAGAGGTGATCAAAATGGAATTGAAAAAAATCTCTCACTGGATGAATAAAAAATAAATACTACCAAAACGTATGGGACGCCTATATTGAAATAAAGATCTCAAAGCAACCTAAGTTTACACCTCAGGGAACTAGAAGAAGAAAAAACTAAATCCAGTGGAAGGCAGGAATAAATGTCAACATAAATAAAGAGAGAACAGAAAAAAATAGGAAAATAATTAGCACACATGGAGTTGAGTTTTGAGAATATAGGTCCTTAGCCACACAAACAAATAAAAAAGTAAAAAGACTTAAATAAAATAAAAATGAAAAAGCATTGAAAAGCTTGCTTCAGAAGTGGAAAGGTTCTACGGGACTATTATAACAATTATATGGCAAAGACTGGATAACAAAAAATAATGAATATATTTTTAAAAGATTTATTTTATTTATTTGAAAGAGTTACAGAGAAAAAGGGGAGAGAGAGATAATAGATCTTCCATCATCTGGTTCACACCCCAAGATGGCTGCAACAGCAGCTCTGGGCCAGGCTGAATCAGGAGCCAGGAGCTTCATCCAGGTTTCCACATGGGTAGCAGGGCCAAACACTTGGGCCATTTTCCACTGCTTTCCCCAGGCCATTAGCAGGGAGCTGGATCAGAGTGGAGTGGCCAGGACATGAACCAGAGCCCATGTGGGATGCTGGCATCACAGTAGACTTGCCCACTACACCACAAAACTGGCCCCAGTGATTAAATTTCTATAAAATTACAACCTGCCAAGACTGAATCAAAAGAAATAGAAATGTGATTGTTTGGATGCAAAACTATTGGATGTGGTTTTATTGAGCATTGTCAAATTTGTAAGCTTCGTAGGGATGGACATCACATTTATAATGCCCTTCTATATGTGCTACCATAGATGTGAAATTCTTGACCTTAATATTGTCCTCGAAAATGTTAAATTGAGAATTCTGCTAACTTACAGTTTATGAGTTGGCCCACTGTATTACTGCAAGAAATGTTTGATTTTCGGCACAGTGCAAAGGTTCCTTAAACTGCATATGTCTTTTTTTCTAATTCTATTTTTCTTTTTTTTGACAGGCAGAGTGGACAGTGAGGAGAGACAGGGAGAAAGGTCTTCCTTTACCGTTGATTAACCCAACAATGGCCGCTGTGGCCGGTGCACTGCACTGATCCGAAGCCAGGAGCCTGGTCTCCCATGGGGTGCAGGGCCCAAGACTTGGGCCATCCTCCATTGCACTCCCAGGCCAGAGCAGAGAGCTGGACTGGAAGAGGGGCAACCTGGACAGAATCCAGTGCCCACTGGGACTGAACCCAGTGTGCCGGCGCCGCAGGCAGAGGATTAGCCTATTGAGCTACAGCGCCGGCTTCTAATTCTATTTTTAAAACACATTTTAAATGTACTTCTCATTTAGTAAAAATTGTCTAATTGATATGAAAAAAAAATAGAAGCCAGAACAGACTAATAACAAATAAAGAGATCACAGGCAGTAATCAAAAACTTCTCAACAATGATAAGCCTAGGACCAGAGGCTTCAGCATGAATTCTACCTGACTAGAAAAAATTAACACCAATCCTTGTTAAACTTTCCAAAAATATGAGGGATTATCTCCAAACTCTGTCTATGAGGCTAGCATCAGTCTGAGATGAGAGCCAATAAAGACATCACAAGAAAATAAAACTACAGGCCAATATGTCTAATGACTACAGAAGCAAAAAATACTGACGGGGTGGGGTGGGGCGGGGGGGAGGTGTGGCCGCTGTAGTGCAGCGGGTTAAAGCCCTGGCCTGAGTGCCGGCATCCCATATGGGCGCTGGTTCTAGTCCCAGCTGCTCCTCTTTCATTCCAGCTCTCTGTTGTGGCCTTGGATAGCAGTAGAAGATGGCTTAAGTCCTTGGGCCCCTGCACCCATGTGGGAGACCAGGAAGAAGCTCCTGGCTCCTGGCTTCAGATAGGCGCAGCTCTGGCGTGTTGTGGCCATCTGGGGAGTGAACCAGTAGATGGAAAACCTCTTTCTTACTACCTCTCTCTGAAACTCTTTCAATAAATAAATAAATCTTTAAAAAAAATACTGAGGAATAAAATATTGGCAAACTAATTCATCATCAAAATATTATATATTGTTACAAAATGGGAGTTATCCCACGGATGCAAGGCTAGTGTAACATACTGAAAATAATCAATTTGATACACCATATTAAAAGAATTGAAGATCATCTCAATAGATATCAAAATGCATTTGACAAAGATCAACATCACTTCATGGTAAAAATAAAAACTTTCAACAAAACAGAAGCTAACTTCCTCAACATGATAAAGTCCACTTCTGAAAGACTCACTGCTAATATAAGCAATGAGAGAAAATAGAAATATTTTGCTCTAGGACTGGGGTCCACCAGGATGAAGCATGCTCTTGTGGTTCCTGCGCACTGCTGGAAATACCGCAAGAGCAACCTGATGAGAGAAAGAAGCTGCAGGCACAGCAGTCGGAAAGGAGGAGGTAAAATTACTTCTCCTCGCAACTGACATGAATCCACATGTAGGAAATTCTAAAGATTCCATACAAGCACTAACGTATGGATTCAGTAAAGTTACAGCATACAAAATACACTGAAAAAAGTCAACTGCATGTCTATATACATTTCAATAGCAACCTATCTGAAGAAGAAATCATATAATAGCATTAAGAATAAAGTATTTAGGAATGAATTTAACCAAGGAAGCAAAACATCTACACACGGAAACTATGATACATTAATAAGAGAAATTCAAGAAGATAAAAATAAACGAAAATATATTCCATGTTTGTAGTCTGGAAGAATTAATATTGCTAAAATGTTCATACTACCCACAGTGATATACACATTCAATGAAATCACTATCAAATTGCAATGGTATTTTTCACAGAAATAGAGAAAGATTCTGAAATTCATACAGAACCACAAAAGACCTCTAATAGCTAAACAACCATGAGAAAGAAAAAACAAGCCTGGAGACACCACACTTCCTAATTTCAAGTTATGTTACAAAGCTGTGGCAGTCAAAAGTATTGGTTCTGGCATGAAAATGGACTCATACAGACCAACAGAACAGAACAGGGACCCCAGAAATAAACCAAGTATATACCGGCAGTAAATTTTTGAAAAGCCCAATCAAGATGGTACAACAGGGAAAAGAGCGTCTCTTCAATAAATGGCTTTGCCAAACTGGATATCTATGTGCAAAAGGGTTGATTTAGACCTGTATGTTATCTACACCCCAAAATTGGCTCAAAAATGGATTAAAGACCTAAATATGTGGCCTGAAACTACAAAACTGCTAGAAGAAAACTCAGGGGGGGAATCTCCTTGACTTTGGCCTTGTCAATCATTAGTTGGATATCCTCTCAAAAGCTGGGTAACACAAATAAAGAAGGGCTACTTCTTTCTCTTTTTCTCTCTTTCTCTGTAATCCTGCCTTCCAAATAAGTAAATTTAAATAAAAAAAAAAAAACAACAACAACAAGAAAAATGAGGGGCCCACGCTGTGTCATAGCAGGTAAAGCTGCCAGCTGCATCCAATATAGGTACTGGTTCAAATCCCTGCTACTCCACTTCTGATCCAGCTTCCTGCTAATGCACCTGAGAAAGCAGTGAGGGATGGCCTCCTGCAGCTGCATGGGAGACCTGGAAAGAAGCTCCTGGCTCCTGGCTTTGGCCTGGTCCAGCTCCAGCCATTTATGTCATTTGGGGAGTGAACCAGCAGAAGGAAGATCTCACTCTCTATCTGTAACTCTGCCTTTCAAATAAATAAATCTCTCTCTCTCTCTCTCTTTTTTTTTTTTTTTTGACAGGCAGAGTGGACAGTGAGAGAGAGACAGTGAGAAAGGTCTTCCTTTGCCGTTGGTTCACACTCCAATGGCCGCTGCACCGCACTGATCCGATGGCAGGAGCCAGGTACTTATCCTGGTCTCCCATGGGGTGCAGGACCCAAGCACTTGGGCCATCCTCCACTGCCCTCCCAGGCCACAGCAGAGAGCTGGCCTGGAAGAGGGGCAACCGGGACAGAATCCGGCGCCCCGACCGGGACTAGAACCCGGTGTGCCGGCGCCGCTAGGCGGAGGATTAGCCTATTGAGCCGCGGCGCCGGCCTCAAATAAATCTTAAAAAAAAAAAAAAAAGGAATCTGGGGAAATGTTTCTCAAATAAAGTTTATAGAGAACAAAATTAAAAGGCTTCTAAACAAAGGTCAGGGTCAGATATTTGTATTGGGTGGTGGGTTCGTGGATAATTATTATTAATTATTATGAATTATCAACGAGTAGATAAATTATAAATAAATAATCAATGAGTCAAAAACACAGTCATGAGAGTTTGTCACGAACGAAGGTTAATGGAGAATCCAATTCATTCAAATCAATTAAGCATTTATATTGAGAGTTTTTTGTTTTTGTTTTTGTTTTTTGCTTACCAATCAAAAAGGCAAAAGCGAGCCGTCCGACACGCACCATGTCTGCCAGAGTGTGGGAAACGGGGCTCCCGCAGCTGCGTCAGCACCGCAGGCAGGTCCAGCGGCTTCCCTGGGGACGGCCAGAGGGGTCCCGGTCTTTCCCTCTGCCAGCAGCAGGCGCTGAGCCGGGGGCGGGAGGGGGGTCGCACACAAGTACATCCAGGAGCTACGAGAAAGCAGCAGTTGGATACAAGGCCCTTGTCTCTGAGGGTCCGTGGTGGAATGAGAAGGCCATGCCAAGATGGCCGCTGGCAAGAGAGCGTCAGTTACTAGGAATGGCTTCCGACACCCCCTGGGAAACCACCCAGCAATGGAGCCTGCCTGGCAACGGGCTGTGATTGGATGGCTGTGGAAACCACCTGGCAACGGAGCCTGCCTGGCAACGGGCTGTGATTGGATGGCTTTGGAAACCACCTGGCAACGGAGCCTGCCTGGCAACGGGCTGTGATTGGTTAGGGCAAAGACCGCCCCTTGACCGGATTGGCTGCCTTGGCTATTTAAGCTGCTGTACCAACTGCAGGCAGCTCGCCTCTGGCGCGCTTTCAGGTGACTCCACACCTTTTGCCCCCATCGCACTCCTCCTCTCAACGAATCCACAGTAACAAGGGTCCACTCCACAGAGCTCCCTGCCCCACTCGGCCTGACCATGCACGTGGACTGAGACACCAAGCCAGGCCAGGCTAGGCCAGATGCAGGATTTGTGCCACTGTAAGAGACTGAGAGCCCTGAAATTCTTACTGGGTTGGGGAAGGTTCCACATACAAGAGATTATCTTCATTCATCCCTTCCATAGGCTACCAGAAGCAATCCCGACACCCAGTGGATCACCAGCCCAGCCCACAACTCAGAGGTGGGTGGGCTGACATCTGTAGGCTTCGCGAATCATGGCCTTGCACCTGCCCACGGGGCCCCTCCCTGCCGCGGCACTGCGGCTGGCTCTTGCTGTGCAGCCTGGACTTAAAGTACAATAACGTTTGAAGGCTTACGTGGTGCAGTGTCTTGTTTCTAATAAGGCAGACTTTGTCTTTACCTTATCAGAGAGTTATAGATCTGCGTTTAAAACATGCTGTGTGATGATAGGTGTAAAAGAAATTCTTCAAAAGATTTTTTAAAAAGTTAAAAAGAGAAAGGTCATGAGATGGGGACCCCAGCTGCAGTCAGAGTGAAGGGCGGGGGGGAGGAGAGAATTAAGGGGAGAGCTTCCAGTGGATCAAAACGATTCCACCTACCTTAGGGTTCCAGACGGAAGCCTGGGGACACGGACAGCAATATGACCTCGTATGACCTCCGTATGCGGATATGGCGAGAAGGCAGCCACTCCCAATCCAAGGAGAGAGCTCACGGGAAATCAACCCTGCCCGCAACTTGATATTGAGTTTCGAGTCTCCAAAGCTGTGAGAAAACAACTTTCTGTTAGTTAAGCCCTCCACTCTGGTATTTTGTTCTGTGTTCCCCCTACTCACTGACTGATGTAAACTGTAGCCATTTTTACACCTAATCCCACAGAAATAGATGGCTTTGGAGTTAAACGGCTGAATGTGTTAGGGAAAGAGAAGAGAGCGCCACCAAACCACCACCGTCCCACACAGGGTGACTGTGGAGCACCCAGAGCCCTGTCTCCCGGAGCAGGAACAGCAGAGCCTTCACGGTAATGGAAAGAAAACAGATTTAGCTAAACAATCCAGTCTGTCACAGAGCAGATAATAACAATAACAATAACAATAACAAGCCTCTCAGGAATGGGAGGGATCAAATACCTGCAGTCGATCACACCGAACTGCAAAAGCAAGGTTTATTCGGGAGTACAAGCTGCGACAGGGACCCCATCCAACCAGCCAGCCCAGCGGAGGCAGGAGTGAGGCCCCGTCTTTGGGAGAGAAAAATGGCTACATCAGCAGGAAAAAAGTTACATACAGCACAGAAGCTCTGGGTGCAGGGAGTTGAGTTACGGGGGGCTTACAGCACGGAAGCTCTGGGCGCAGGGAGTTACTTTGTTTAGTAATCTCTGCTGTGCTGTCCTTGGTCTTCAGAGCTGGCTGTCCCTGGTAAGCTTTGCTATCTCCGGAATGCCTGAATGCCTGCTTTTACAAGGACCCAGGTCTGCTATGGGAAATGGAGGCTGCTTTTTTGTTTTGTTTTGTTTTAAAATGGAGTCATTTTGGCTCTTCAGTGTCAACTGGTATGTTCAGTTTTCCAACATAAATATTTGTGAAAATACAAGGCATGCAAAGAAACACGGGAGATATGAGTCACACACTGGGAAAAGAAGAGGAACAAAAGATACTGCCTGTGACAGTGACTGTAAGTCCGATTCATCAGGGGAAACAATACTTCAAAGTAGCGATTACTAGTATGTTCACAGAGCTAAAAGTCACCATGGTTAAAATGTAAGGGAACAGGTATTGGCAGTGTTGCATCAAATAGAAATTATCAGCAGAGACAGAAACTTCAAAAAGGACAAAATGAAATTCTGGAGTTGAAAAGCACACTTAATGAAATAAAAAATTGACTACACGTTCTCAATAGTAGACTTGAACTGGGAGAAGGAACAAGCAAATTTGAGGATAGATCAATTGAGATTATGAATGCCAAAGAACAAACAGTGAAGTTTATGAGGGAGATAAACAGAGCCTTGGAAACATGTGAGAGACCATACACACTGTCGAGGAGATGAACTTGAGAAGGTGAAGTTATCACGTTCCCTGCCTTTTGTCTCTGTATCTCTATGGTAACTGGTGTCATGGTAACCGGCAGGTCCATCCGCCTGGCAGGCTGCCCACCATCTGTTATGTAATGGTTTGGCTCTGGGCCACTACTGTCTATAAACCCACATAAGCAGCTGGGCGGCATGGCTAGATGTGGCTGTGCGGCTGTGTGTCAGTGTCTGTGTGTGTGTCTGGACACAAAGGTGGCTATCTCCTGTGGGCTCACCGCAGTTGGGGGCAAGTGGCTGTCCCTTGTGATTTTCTCACCACCACTGTGAGTAAAGGAGATACAAATGGACAAATGGCTCCGAGTTCTTCTCTGCCCTGTTGGAATCTGGATCTGCTTGTACTGGGTCCCAAGCCCCAGGCATACACATGTAATGATAGTACTGAGAAAGGAGAGATAAAAGAACAAGAATTTAAAAAATTATAAAGGCTAAAAACTTTCCAAGCTGGTGCTGTGGTATAGCAGGTGAGGCCACTGCCTGGGGTGCCAGTATCCCATATGGGTACCAGTTCTAGTCCCAGCTGCTCCACTTCCAATCCAGTTCTCTGCTATGGCCTGGGAAAGCAGTGGAATATGGCCCAGGTCCTTGCACCTTTGTGGGGTACCCGGAGGAAGCTCCTGTCTCCTGGCTTTGGATCAGCGCAGCTCTGCCCATTGCAGCCATTTGGGGAGTGAACCAGCGGATGGAAGACCTCTCTGCCTCTCTGTAAATCTGCCTTTCAAATAAATAAATAAATAAATAAATCTTAAAAAAAATCTTTCCAAATATGTTGAAAACCAATACATACAGAAAGCTCAATGAAATCCATGCAGGATTAAGTTCAAAGGGATCCACAGAGGCATCATACTTTAAAAAAAAAAAAGCTGAAAATCAAAGACATGAGCACATTTGGAAAGTAAGAGAAGAATGATGCATTTACCAGGAAAACTGCCCTAAGATCTACAGCTGACATCTCAACAGACACAATGCAGGTCACAAAACGGTTAGGATAATGTATTCAAAATGCTCAAAGCACGAAAGAACCCATCAACCAAGCAGTAGTCCTAACTGTATATACCTTATGCTACATCTATAATGCAGTAAAGCTTTATTTCAGCAATAAAGGCAGCAGTGGGCATTTAGCTTGGCAGTGGGATTTAGCCCGTGCCCATGTTCCACGTCTGAGCACTTGAATTTGATTCCCAGTTTCAGCTCCAGACTCCAGGTTCCTGCAAATGCAGATCCTGCACATCAGTAGTGATGGCTCAAGTACTTGGATCGCTGCCACCCACTGGGAAGACCTGGATTGAGTTTCCGGCTCCCGGCTTCAGCCCCAGCCTAGCCTCGGCTATTGCGGACTTCTGGAGAGTGAACCAGTGAGAGAAGTGTTTCTCCCTCTCCCTCTCCCTCTCCCTCTCCCTCTCCCCCTCCCTCTCTCCCTCTCTCCTTCCCCTTCTCATTCCCTCCCTCTCTCTTTCCCCACCTCTGAAATAAATTAAGTTAAAGACCTGCCACGTTTAAACAACAACAAAAAAAAACCCGAGATGTGTTGTTGATGACCTGCCTTACGAGGAACACTAGCAGTAATTCTTCAGGCTGAAACCACATGACTCCAGGCTGTATTCAAGTCCCCACGGGAAGACAAAGAGCACAGGAAAGATAGAGAGATCCTACCCACTGGTTTACTTCCCAAATGCTCAGAACAGACAGAGCTGGGCCAGGCCAACAATGGGCGCCCAGAAATCAATCCAGGACTCCCCCATGGGTGTCAGGGCCCCAAGAACTTGAGCCATCACCTGCTGCCTCCCAGGGTGCACATAAGCAGGAAGCTGGAATAGGAGTGGAGCAAGGATTTGAACCCAGGCACTTCCATATGGGATGCGAGTTTGCTATTAAGAGTCTCAAGCAGCATCTTAATAGCAATGCCAAACACATGGCCCTGGATTTTGGTAAGAGTGCTAAGACTGTTCAATGGGGAAAAATCTTTTCAACAAATAGTTCTGGGACAACTAACAGTCACAGGAAAAAGAATGAAGTTTGATTCGTATCTTGCACCATTTATAAAAATTCATTCAAAGTAGATCAATGATCTAAATGTGAGAGTTAAAACTGTAAAACTCGTAGAAGAAAATGTAAGAGTAAACCTTCATGACTTTGGAGTGGGCAAAATATTCTCAGGTATGACAACAAAGCACAAATAAAAGAAAAAATAGACAGACTGTATCAGAATGAAAAACTTTCTAACTTCAAAGGCTATCATAAAGAAATTGAAAGGTGGGGCTGGCATTGTGGCACAGTGGGTGTGATGCAGGCATCCCATATGGACACCAGTTCAAGTCCTGGCTTCTTCACTTCTGATCCAGCTCCCTGTTCATGGCCTGGGAAAAGCAGAAGAGGATGGACCAAGTGTTTGGGCCCCTGATACCCATATGGGAGACCCTGATGGAGTTCCTCTCTTCTGGCTTTGGCCTGGCCCAGCCCTGGCTGTCGTGGGCATTTGGAGAGTGAACCAGTAGATGGAAGATCTGCCTCCCTCTCTTGGTCACTGTGCCTTTCAAATAAATAAGCAAACCCTTTTTAAATAGACAAAAGATTTGAATCAGTATTTCTCCAAAGACATACAAATGGCCAATTAGCACACGAAAAGATGTTGGGCAGCATTAATCATCAGGGAAATTCAAATAAAAACCAGAATGATATACTATTTCACCCTCACTATGATGGCTAGAATCAAAAGCCAAATAGGGACCACATTGTAGCTTAGTGGGTTAAACTGTTGCCTGCAATGCTGGCATTCCATAAGGGTACCAGTTTGAGTCCCAGTTGCTCCACCTCCAATCCAGCTCCCTGCTAATGCGCCTTGGAAGGCAGCAGATGGTGACCCTAGTCCTCGGCCCCTGACACCCCATGGGAGACCCAGATGAATCTCTTGGCTCTTGGTGTCAACCTGGCCCATCCCTGGTTGTTGTGGCCATCTGGGGAGTGAACCAACAGCAGCTCTGTCTTTCCTTCTCTCTCTGTAACTCTGCCTTTCAGATAAATAAATATTTTTTAAAAGCCAAATAACAGCAAGTGTTGGTGAGAACATGCAGAAATTAGAACCTTCAGCATTGTTGGTGGGAATGCGAAATGGTGCAGCAACTTAGGAAAGCAGTCTTTTAGTTCCTCAAACTCTTAAATACAAAGCTACCATACAACCCAGCAATTGGCTCAAGGCACATCCCCAAGAGAACTGAAAGTCTATCCACATCAAAACTCACACCTGAGTGTGGCGTTATTCAGAAGGGCCAAAAAGTGGAAAGAACCCACTTGCCCATCGGCTGATGAATGGATAAACAAACGTGGTGTATGCAAGTAATGGAATATTATTTGGTCATAAAAACATGCATGCTAAACATGGATGAACTTTGAAAGCATTATGCTAAGTGTTACATGATTCCATTCATGTGAATTGTCCACATAAGCAAAGTCATAGAGGCAGAAAGTAGATTGGGACTGCCTGGGGCTTGGGAATTGGAGAGGAGCAGCTGGTAATGGAATATTAAATCTCTAAATATAAAAGTAAAATATATAAAATATAAATATATAAATATAGCCTAAATATTTCATATAAATATATAAATAAAAATATAAATCTCTAAATATAGAAATCTCTAAATCTTGCCCTGGTGATGGTTTTATATATGCATGACTCTGATACAAACCACCAAATTGTATTCTTTAAGTGTGGAAGTGATATTGTTATAGGAACGATACCACAAAGCTATAAAAAGGAAAACAAAAAATTTAACAATAAAAATGGGGCACAAATACAGATCTAAAATATTAAAAGAACAGCAAAGGACAAACAAACCTTTCCAGGAAGAAAACTGCAGATCCAAATGGTCTTACTGGTGCGTTCTATCAAATATAAAAGACAGACATTTCATCAGTGTGACGCATACTCTTTGAGGTCATGGAGAAGGTAATTTTTCCTAACTCATTCTAGGTGACCACCAAAATCCTAATGCCAAGAAAAGAATACAACTACCAGAAATAAAAGGTGAATTTAGCAAGGTACCAGCGTAAATACATCTACATATATATTTATGATATATATATATGTGTGTGTACACACACATGCACACAAGTATTGTATACACGAGTACTAAAAATATATCCATGCATGAGAGAGCTTCAAAAAGTTCATCATCCGAGTCCCTGGCTTCACATCCTGGCTCCACGTTTGAGCCCAACTTCCTGTTGATGCACATCTTGGGAGGCAGCAGGGACTTGGGTCCCTGTCACCCACATGGGAAACCTGATTGAATTCTGGGCTTCCGGCTTGGCCTGGTCCAACTCTGGCTGCCATGAGCATTTGGAGAGTGAACCAGCAGAGAGAGGATGTCTGTCAGGGGCTGGGGCAGTGGCACAGCGGGTTAAAGCCCTGGCCTGAAGTGCTGGCATTGCATACGGGTGCTGGTTCTAGTCCCAGCTGTTTCTCTTCTGATCTAGCTCTCTGCTATGGCCTGGGAAAGCAGTAGAAGATGGTCCAAGTCCTTGGGCCCCTGCACCCATGTGGGAGACCTGGAAGAAGCTCCTGGCTCCTGGCTTCGGATTGGCACAGCTCCGGCCATTGTGGCCATTTGGGAGTGAATCAGTGGATGGAAAATCTCTCTGTCTCTACCTCTCCCTGTAACTCTGTCTTTCAAAATAAATAAAATAAATATATAATAAAATAAATTCAAAATAAATAAATAAGATAAATCTTGAAAAAAAAAGATGTCTGTCTCACCTTGTCTCCTTTTCAAACAAATAACTTTTTAAAAGGATGAAAAGTTCACAAAAAATGTGTATTCTGAACAAAACATATATGGATTTCAAAAAATTTTTGTGCCAAATTCAACTTATTTTAATTTTTCTGTGAAATTTTGAAGTGCCCTCATACATACACACACATATATATGTACTTTCTGTGTATTACCAATGACCTACTCAACAATAAAATCTAAAACCACTTAAAGAACATTTCCAAATCCCATAAAATATGAGAGGATAAACTAGCACAAAGCTGACCAAGACTCCACACAGAAAATCATAAAAGCAAGAGCGAACTTCCTCCCTTAAGGGCCGGATAATAAATAACACAGGCCTTGGAGGTCACACTGCACTGATCTCTCAACATATTCTTTGGATTCCTGTTGGTTTTTTTAAACTTTCTTTACAACCCTTTAAACATACTAATCTCCTTTTTCATTTATTGACCTTACAAAATCAGGCTAAGTTCCAAATGGCTCATGGGTTACATAATTTGCTATTACTGCAAAGCGTTGCTGAGAGAAAAGGTAAAAGACCCAGCTGTATGGAGATGTGTGAGATACACCCCATGTGGTGCGCGGAAGAAGCTAATATTGGCAAAACATCAATTTGGGCCAGGACACTAAAATCCAGCCAACAAAAATTGTCACCAGAGACATCGGTGCCCTTGGTGACACCAGGGTTTTAAGCCAGGTGGATCCTGCACCCCGCGGATGTGCCATCTCCTGTCGTTACACAGGTGACAGGTGGTTGGCTGTATGGGTCAGCTTGAAGAGAAACAGCCTGTGGGTTGGGCTGACAACCCAGTTGTGGCCCATGGTCTGCTTAGCAGCCGAGCCAAACACGGCCTCCCAGCAGGCAGTGCCTGTGCCCACTACAGGGGTGCCTGGTGCACAGTATCCCGAAGACCATAGAAAGCATCAATTCACGACGCGTCCATGACACAGGGAGACACCGTGGCTCAAACGGTTATATTCGGGGGCTCTGGAGTCTGAGCGCCTGGGACAAGAAGTCCTTTTAGGGCCACTACCAGCTGTCAGGCCGGGGGGAAGGGTTCTAAGGCTCACACGCCTTTTTAAAAAGCAAACTTGCAGCGAGCAGTGAAGAGAACCCGCCTGCCAGCCCGGGATGTGGTCAGCAGCCCCTCTCCCCTGCCCCACCCCCTTCCCGTAGTCCAGCTCCTCTCCCGGGAGAATCAAGGTTGCTCCCGCCTCTCTGCCTTCGGGTAGGGTCTTCGTGACAAGGGCTGGCCGACTCACAGGCAGAGGTGACAGACGCTCCTGCCCCCGGGGGCCGGTGCTGGGCGAGCCCCTGCAGACCTGGTCGGTCGCCACCTACGGCGGGGGCCCGCTCGGTGCCAAACGCCCGCCACCAAGCGAGAGCAGGCGCGAAGCGCGCGAGGCCAGCAGGGGTTGGGCCGTTGGACCTCGCCCTTGGGCCTCCGTTGCGATGTCTTCGCGCCCTTGGCTCACGCACCCTTCCCTCACCCGCCTGGGGCTGAGCGCTATGCCTCGCCTCCGAGTTGGCAGCCAGGACACCGCTCTGAGGTTCCGGACTCCGCGCCAAGGGACCCCACGGCGCACGCAGCTGCTGTCCGCGGGCAACGGCCTCGGCGAGCTTCATACCCGCCTCCCGGGGCCACCGCGCTCCAGGTCCCCCTGACTGGCCATGCCCACCCGGCAGCTGCTGCACCGCTCCCTGGCCTGTCTTCCACCGGGGTTTCTGTCTCGCTGCTTAGCTTATGCGATCCAGGAGGCTCCAAGCTCCTCAGTGTTGGGCAGGACTCTCAGATGGAGCCAGCACTGGGCACTGGGAACTCCAAGAGGCTCGGCCATTCCGGACAGCTAAGATCTGTCATCCAGGGTGCAACCTGACCCTCCTCCATCACCACCCCGGCGAGAAAGAAGTTCCCCCTATGAGCTCCGTTCCATCCAGAGAACCTAGATGCCGGCCCCAAGAAGACTGAGCGAGCCCTGGGGAGGAGGAAGGGACAGCCGAAGATGGAGGACGGCCAAATAGTGACCCAAGCGTAGAAGCGCCCATCACATGCAGGCAATGGAGTGTGCCATCAGCATCGTCCGGGGAAGCGACCCGATGCTTTTTCCTTGCTCTGGGGACCTGGGCCTCTGCAGGAAACCTGCATTCCTTCCAACCACCCGGGAGCCACCGGGAGTAAGAAGGCGAAGTTTTCCCCTGTGAGCTCAGGCGTCAGAAGTCGTGCCTTCCCCAGCTCATGGAGCCGGCCCTGCTGGGGGGCTCCTGCCTCTTGTTGTTGTTGTTGTTGTTTTTGACAGGCAGAGTTAGATAGTGAGAGAGAGAGAGAGAAAGGTCTTCCTTCCGTTGGTTCACCCCCAAAGTGGCCGCTATGGCAGGCGCGCTGCGCTGATCCGAAGCCAGGAGCCAGGTGCTTCTCCTGGTCTCCCATGGGGTGCAGGGCCCAAGCACTTGAGCCATCCTCCACTGCACTCCTGGGCCACAGCAGAGAACTGGACTGGAAGAGGAGCAACCAGGACAGAATCCAGTGCCCCAACTGGTACTAGAACCCAGGGTGCCGGTGCCACAGGCGGAGGATTAGCCTAGTGAGCCGCGGCACCAGCCGGCTCCTGCCTCTTTAGGAGAGTGGTGCAGGGACTTTGGGATCCAGCCACAATGGGTTCAGAAAGTTTAGCCAAGGAAAAGTTCCTGAAGGCCATTGGCCTGGTTCTCCAACCCCACTGAAGACAGAGGAGAGGAAGGGAGGAAGGCTACAGATGTGCTGTCAAACAAAATCTCCACCCACTCCTGCCAGATGCGGGCTCTGTTAACAAAATTCCTCTGCCCTTGTACCAACCCCACGCCATATGCTGATCCTGAAATGATGGGATGAGACACTCAATCCTTATTTTTTTTTTCTTTTTGTTGTTCTGGCCATTTCTTTCCTGAAGTTCAGTATTTTTTTTTAAGAATTCCACTTTCAAGTGGAAATAGAGCCCATTTCAATTCTGGTCTTTTCGCTATAAGTCTTTACTCTGATCTTCAAAGTATCTTACTGTCAGGAGAAATTAAAACTCGGATGTGTTCTGATGGACAACCGAAGACCAGAGGAGAAAGCAGCTGTTTCCGTTTTCTCCAAGTCTACCACCCGCAGGACTGAGTCCTCCACCCCTATGGATATGGAGTCCCTCTCTTTTCCTTACAGATTCCTTGAGTCGCTGCCACAAATTCCCGTCTTCACCAGCGAGCTCAGCACGGCCTCTGCGGTCACTGTCACCAGTGCAGCCAGACTCTGCTGCACAGAGTCTGTGGACTCGGCCAAGTGTGATTTGGTAAGCCACATGGAAGCCAATCCCCACTCACAGGCACCCACCTTCGGGTCTCCACGGTGACCCCGTGTGAGCTTCCCCCATTCGCCAGGGCCAGGCCAGCCGGAGCAGACACCCCCTACCAAGGCCACGTCTCCACCACTCCACCTGGTTTTATGCTCAGCAGCCCCAGCCAATTTTTAAAATATATTTTAAAAGATTTACTCATTTGAAAGTCGAAGTTACACTAAGAAAGGGAGAGACAGAGCGAATGCGTGAGCTTCCATCCTCTGGTTCATTCCCCAGATGGCTGCAATGGCCCTAAGGCTGGGCCATACTGAGGCCAGGAGCCAAGAGCTTCTTCTAGGTCTCCCACATGGGTGGCAGGGGCCCAAGCTCCTGGGCCATCTTCTGTTGCTTTTCCCAAGTACATCAGCAGGGAGCTGGACGGGAAGTGGAGTAACGGGGACTCTGCCGTTGTCCATGTGGGATGCTGGCATCGTCGTCCCAGGAGGCAGCTTTATGCGCTACACCACAACAGCAGCCCCTTCGTATTCTTTAACTCCTTATCCTCTTTGGGCCTACACTAGTATGTTATTGTTTTCAACAATAAGGAATGCAAGTGGCTTCTTGGTACCCCACTACCTTTCCCCAAACCTCTCCCTTCCATCCCAGAAAATCCTCGGAAGATGGCTTCTACTTCACCCTCAGGCATGAGCTCTCTGAAGGCGTCTGCTCTGAGCCTGGAACTTCTGACCTGGAACACGTGCGGCCTCCTCTCAGCTGGTCCTCAGAATAAATGCACAGGTCCCACGTCTGTTA